TGTGACAGTCACACTTCTTTGCTGTAGCTCACTTAAATGTTTGTTGGCTTCATATACCAGTACCTCCATTTCCATGGGGTCGAATTTCCTTTTGCGCTTTCTGCTGTCCAAACTCGCCATGCCGCAAACCACAAAACGCGAAAACCATCATTTAAATAGGGCGTCTCCAACAGTTTTGCACCTGCCACCAGTTACGCAATCGCTCTTGTTAAATCACCCGCAAACCATGGTTCAGCCCCTCGCGCAAAATTCCAGTTTGCGAGCGCAAATTACTGCACGCAAAATTGGATCTTGATAAATCCGGCCCATAGAGTTTAACACATAAGCTTTACATGATGTATCAACACCACAGCAAGCAAAAAAAAACTCCATCAGCATGATGCTGCCACCACCATACTTTTAAGTGAAATTAAATCATCACTAAGGCCAAAGAGCTCAGCGCTTGTCTCATGTAACAAATATAACTTAGAAAACGATTAGATTGTCCAAGTGGGAAACTTTAAAACTCAGCTGAGGTATACGGTTAATTTTTGAGCATAGACACATGAACAATGATGCTGGTATTCCTCCAGTTTCAGTAAATGGACCATCTACTTCCACCCGTTCCCTAACATTTAACCAAAACATTTAACCAACTATTATTGAAAATAGATTATATGAATTAAAGTTGTCTAGTCTGGCAGAGAGGCTATTATAAACTGCTTTTGATAAGTAGAAATCAGTTTTGTTAAAAGTAGAGTCTAACAGGAGATTTTCTTAATTTCTAATATAAAGAAGTGCTAAGTGTAAAATGATCCAGTTGAGCTGTGAACCATCTGATTATTTTCAATTTCTAACTTAAGATGTCAAATGCTGTTTAGACCCATACAAAACTTATAATAGATTTGAAATTATAATAGATTAGATTTGACAGATAACAAATAGAGTAATAATCAAAAATCATATACTCTATTTGTTATCTGTCACCAAAAGCGGAAAAATAAAACTTATTTTCTTTAGGTAGTTATGCTGCTTTCCATTTGGTCTGATGGAGGTCTGAATTTCCGACCCCTAAGTTGGAAGTTTCACCTGGAAGGTCCAAGAAAATTTAAATTAAGAGTTGGAAATTCTGACCAACATCTCTATGTTCAAGATGACTGCTTCTCGCCTTAACACAAGTAAAAACAATGTTACTTTGCAAGTCTTTATTATTTGTGTAACATTTAGTCATTTTTACATGTGCTAATTCCTGGTGTAAGACGAAATAGTCAAAAGCTGTTTGTGAACAAAAAGAACCTAAATAATCTCTATAAGAGCAATAAAGAATCCATGTTTTTTGGGGGATTTTTAGACAAGTAAGAAACTGGAGTTTTATTATCTTGGAGATTAAGCCACTAGTTAGTTCCCCAGTTTGACTTTTATCACTGAATGCAGAATTAATATGTGTATACCATAGTGAGCATCAAATCATATTAACTCATTGTGTAAAAGCAATGCTAGACACCCTATGGGCACGGTAGGCAGGTAACCATGCATCGCCCTGTAGCACCCTCTAAGGCCATACCACCCATACAAAAAATTGTTCCTAAACCTCCAAAATAATTACCTTTAAAGTCATAGGGAAATCATATTTAAATGTCAAATCATTCTCGCTTAAACATGTATATAAACTTACTCTTTATCTGAGGATATTGTCCTAAAATTTAGAAAATGTCTGTTTAAAAAAAAAAAACCTGTACACCTAAATTCGGCCAATCATAGAAGTAGCATCACCTTATGGCATATCTGAACTACCTTCAAGCTACATGCTTGAATTGAAGTTCTAGGAATTAATTGTTGTTCAGAAATATTTACATCTCTGGCTTGACTGAGGTGCTCAGATCTTCCTATTCTTAAATAGTTACTTTATCCATTATAGACCGTCAAGTTAATTGCATGAGGACATTGCAACCACACATGCGTTTCTGTCCACCTCAGAGATGTTTTCTTAATGCTTTGATAAAGACCTTCTCACAAAAAGACCTCATTCAGTCTGGGTTGGACTGAACACCTCTGATGTCATCAGTCTAAGCACACGCTCCTCTCAGCGCTGCGTCCTGAGCCCCCTCTTGTTCACCCTGATGACACATGACTGCGTCCACAGGTTCACCACCAATCACATCATGAAGTTTGCAGACGACACCACGGTGGTGGGCCTCATCAGAGACGACAACGACCAGGACTACAGAGAGGAGGTGGAGCAGCTGGTGGACTGGTGCAAAAGATAACAGCCTGATCCTGAACGTGGAAAAGATGAAGGTGATCATCTTGGACTTCAGGAAGAACCGTCCTAACCACGCTCCATTGCTCATCAACAACTCAGCTGTAGAGGTGGTCAACAGCACCAGATTCCTGGGGGTGCACATCACAGACACCCTCACCTGGACTGTAAAAACACCACCTCACTGGTAAAGAGGGCACAAAAGCCCATGTACTGCCTTAGGAAGATGAGAAGAGCCCACCTGTCCCCACCCATCCTCACCACCTTCTACATAAGCACCATAGAGAGCGTTCTGACCAGCTGTCTCACTGTGGTGTGTGGAGGCTGCAGCGCCTCAGACTGGAAGAAGGTGAGAAGAGTGGTGAGAAGATCATCAGAACTCCTCTTCCCTCCATTAAAGACATTTCATCCCAGCGCTGCGTGTCCCGAGCCCGTAACATCATAAATGACCCCTCACCCCCACCATGGACTTTTCTCCCTGCTGGGGAGAAGCATCCGATGCAGGTCCAGCAGATTTCTTCCCCACTGCCATTAGACACCTGAACTATTGAGAAAACTCTAAAGCAGAGGTCTTCAACAGGGGGTCCGTGACCCCTAGGGTGTACGCAGAGGTACTGCATGGGGGTCGCGAAAGTTTTGGTTGATTAAACTTTTTTTTTTTTATATTACCCCCTGGAATTTTTTCTACTTATTGAATTGTCTTTAATACACATTAACATGAATTTGACATACTGAGGTAAACAAATAAATAGAGGCAGAAGTTGTCTTTCAGTCATCTATGCACACATTCAGCGACACACAGGAGCTCTTTCAAGCTGGGCACCATTTCATTCACTACACCTGTCCCATCAACAAGGAATCAGAATCAGCAATACTTTAATAATCCCAGGGAGAAATTACTTTTGTTACATTACTCAATCTGTAATAGACTGACTATAGGACAAGTTTGATATAACACAATTTAATGCAATATATATAATTAGGCGTCCCCGCTAAGTTTGGGGGTCCTTGATCTTGAAAACGTTGAAGACCTCTTCTCTAAATCATGTCACCATTGCATGAATAAAACCAAAATACTGCATATTTGCATCATACATATTTAACGCTATCAATGCGCTTTTTCTTATTTGCACCATGTTTTTTTTTCTCCCACACTGTTTACATTTGATGACTGCTGCACTTTAGGGAATGGAAATGTTAATTTATTGTCTGAAAAGCTGTACCAAAACAAAATTTTAAGTCTAAAATCTTTTTCTCTAACCTCCTTCATAAAAACTGAGTTATCTGATTCCTATAAATAATTCAAACCAATGGGAGGCTGGCTAGTTATTTTGGTTTGAGGGTCATAATCGCTCATGTTTCATAAGGGGTTCTAAAATGGGAGTCAGAACCAAAATAATCGAAAATGTGGTGAAATAGAAAGTCATAATGGTTACAACAGAAAACTGACCAAGGATTCAGATACCAAAGTAAGTAGCAATGTGGGCTTCCTGGACGCCTCCAAGCACCTTTTAAATATTGAGTCTTCAGTAGATATATTAACATGCAGCTCCTTGTGCATGGATTTTTTTATACAAAGAAACTGGAAGTTGACTGAGTTTTTATCTTTAAATGCTTTTGAGTTGAAAGTTAAAGAATTTGAAGCAGCCTCAATGATATGTAATAGTTTTACTTGATATGTTTTATGTACCTGTCATTTAATTGAACCTTTCTCTGTTTTTAATGTAACTGAGCTGCCTCTTGGCCAGGACTAACTTCAAAAAGAGGTTGTTAATCTAAATAGGATTTTTCCCCCCTGATTAAATAAAGGTTAAATACAAAAAAAAGAAAAATATGGCAATGACATGCATCATTAATGGGACTTGGCTTGGAGCTCGTCTGCCTGGCGGTGTGTTTCCTGAAGCCTTTACAGTTGCTTCAAAATTGAGCATAAATCAAAAATGTTTGCGTCAAGTTCACTGCGACACACTGCTCCTGGAGCATAACCAGCCCTTAAGCCTAGTTCTGCTGGGGGTTTCTTCCTGTTAAAAGGGAGTTTTTCCTCTCCACTGTCGCTACAAGCATGCTTAAGGCTGATTTATACTTCGAAACTAGGTCGTCTGCGTAGGTGTTGCGGTGAACGCAGACACATCCCCTCCCCCTCCGCAGACACTCTGCTGCACCTCTCCTAAATTGTAGGCGGCTGCAGACAGGAGGCCGGCTTGTTTTGTTTTTATGACCTCAATTGCGGAAACTCGTAAAGTTGGACCAGCAAGAAGAGCGAGGTGCACGAGAACGCTGGGTCCCTTTTTCCAGCTGGATCCCCGCTCTTTTTTTCCTCTCCACTGTCGCTACAAGCATGCTTAATGTGAGGGATTGCATTAAAGTCATTGAGCCGATGCAATGAATTGGTTTTCCTTAGATAGAAAACTTTGAATCAATTTGACTGGATGATCTGCTGAACTTTAAAATGCCTTGAGATGACATGTGTTGTGAATTGGTGCTATATAAATAAACTAAATTGAATTAAATAACTGCACATTTTGATTATAGTATAAATATGTGTGCTCTCTGTCTTTGCAGTAAATTGTGAGCATCAGACAATCCAAAGTCAAATTCCTCCATTGTGGCTCACCTTGGAAATAAAAAGCTTATTCTGAATAAACTCATTTATACCCGAATGTAAACATGACTTCCTTTTAATCCCAAATGCATTGGGTTATCATATTATAATAAAATGTTATAGGAAGATAAATGGAAATAAAATAGAAATGTTCAATGTGAATGTTGTAGTGTGGTAGGCTGGGCTGTTTCCACAGTAGGACCGGTGCAGCTCTGCCTACTGCAGCCGCGGGAGGTTACTTCCGTTCCGCAGAGGGCGACAGGCAACAGCCAGCCTCGACTGTGGCGGAGGTCCAGACACAATAGACGGGGTAAGTTTTTTTTTCCCACCACACTGACGATTTGTTCGGAGCTCGCATTCAGACATTCTATATTTGTAGTTTCGGGTGGTCTTTTGCCTGATTTTGTTTTCGGTTGATGTCACGGTCAGCTGCGCAAACAAGCCAAAAATAAGACAAACAAAACGAGCCTGTCTCACGGGGGGGGAAGGGCTACGGCTATGTGCTGGAGAGTGGAGCTGCAACCGTGTATTTCCTGGAGTCAATATTGTCTGCTTTAATCTTTTTAGCGTTTGTGTTAGTATTCTTTGAACTAGGTGACAAAAATTGGTATGCTTGATATTTATATTTAATAAGCTTCACAACAGAAGCCGTATTTTAAGTCTTGGCTATCAGTTTGAGTAGAGTAGGCTGTTTTTAAAGGGGTGTTAGCATTATTAACAGCTAGTGGAGAAGGATTGTGTGAAGCGAACATTTATTTCGATTTCTTACGACGTTAACCCCGAATATGTACTTCGGGAATAAAGTTGTGTAATTAATAAGTTTAATAAATGTGGCATCGAGCGGGTCGGCTAACCATAGTTCGTTAACCGTAATCGACAACGTTACCTAACGTTTAAAAAACCGCAGAGGCTAATTTTGTTGACAAATCTCGCGAGAGATGGAAACCACTGCATTTAAGAAGTTTAAACGCGAGGTGTGAAGTCTTCTGAATTCTTGTTTTTGCGTTCTTTTAAGAAGATTCGTTGAGTCTAATGTAGTCAAACCCCTGTAGTCCTTTCATTTAGGTAACTTAATTGATATTTGTACCGAACGCAAGTCAAATTGTAATTAAATTTTAAGAGAACCTGTAGTTTTTCTTCCAGATTCCTAATCTGGAGCAGATGGAAAGGTATGGGATTTGGTTTAAATATTTTCTAGGTCTGGATATATAGGATAAAAGGACATTAATCATGCAAAAAACTCTTTACATCTTCTAAAAGCATATTTTAAACAATCTTAAGAACTACCTTCAACTGCCTCTTTAGGTTGAGGAAGAATATTCCCTTTTAGGATGTGTATTAGGTCTAGGTGTAATCAGCACTGAAACTATTAAATAGTCTCTTTTTGTTTTCTTAGGTTGCGGTTCTTCTTCAATCCAAACCGGAATGTCGGATGAGGATTCCCGTGCCAGCACCAGCTCTTCCTCATCACCACCTTCCTCCAGCCAAAGCAGACATCGGGACACGCAGGGCAAGAAGAAACGGGAGACTAAAGCCAGCATGAGCAAGACCTCCAAGCTGCTTTCCACCAGCGCCAAAAGGTTCAAATGACATCCTGTTACATCATAAAGTTTAACTTTTTAAAAGGATACTCCCGATCCACTTAAATCACATTTTTTGTATTAATCTGATTCAATATTTATATTTTGAATAGCAGAAAAATGAGATCTGAATTATTGCCAGTAGATTAAAGAGTAAGGGGATTGTTTTGTACTACCACCCTACAGCTGTGAGAGGTGAGCTAAGTCTATTTGTATAGCACGTTTCATCACCCAGACAGTTGAAAGGGTTTATATGATGAAAACATTAGAAACAAAGTACAGTTGGGGAAAAAAGCATAACAAAGGGAAGTAAAGAGAAGTGGAACTAAAGACTGAATTATTGATGTTTCTGTGTAGTTGTGTGATAGTAAAGGAATATATGATAGATGAGCAGTTTTTTTGCATCAACAGTAGGGCTGCAACAACGAATCGATAAAATCGATAAAAATCGACTTTTAAAAGCGTTGGCAACGAATTTCATCATCGATTAGTTGTGTCGCGCGATTATTGCGTCATCCGCCGCGCCGTCATCACTGCCTCTTGACAGAAAGAGGAAGAAAAAAAAATATGGCAGAGCGAGTCAGCGACGCAGGAGCAGTGTTGCCAACTCAGCGACTTTTCAGACCCCTCCAGCGACTATTTTTCAAAAAAGCGACTAGTGACAAATCTGGCGACTTTTTTCGGTTTCACTGGCGGCTTTTGGAGACTCTTACGTGAAAGCATGTATCGTTCCTACTCTGCCGTGGGGCGCCTCCCCCCGCTCCCGCAGGAGTCCCTCTCAGCTGCAGTCAGAGCCTCAGCGTCCAGACTGCAAATGAAGCGCGCATGCACCGGGATTGACGGCGCAAATTGATCACAATAATTAAAATAGCCTGCGCTTTGTAAAGCGAAAAAAGTGATAACATGCAACTTTTTTCAAAAGAAATTAACATGGCACGGAACCACCATGTTTGTTTGGTTTTAAAGTGGGGAAACGTAACGTTAGTTTCTCAGGTAGCTCATCCGATGCTTTGGTTGGCTACTTATTTTACTTTTAATTTCATTTCAATTAGCTTAAGCAGCGTTTACATTTACTTTATAAATAAATTAACTTGCAAATTATGAGGGCAAGGCTTTTAAAGTTTAAATCTTCTGGCGAAGATAAAGTAAAGAAGATCCTGGAATTTATGGAAGTAAAGCAGAATAAAATCCAGCAAGATCAGTAATATGTCAATTAATTATATGCCACATTCCCATGTAAATTGGAGTCTTTGGAGGATGTGTTTTTTAGCACCCCTAGTTCTCTCATTTTTATTCCAAATACAATTTATAATTTGAATCACAGGGCTATTTTTATCTCTATGGTTAAGTATTTTCTCAAGTAGCAACTTTAACTGCTATACTTTCCTGTCTTAAAAGGCAGAACTCTTCTAGTCTAAAAAAAACTCATTTGTTGAAATGGGGGGCCTATTGTTTGAACCCCTTAGGGGCTTTTAAAAACAAAAATGTCTTTTTTTGCGCTTTATGAAACAAAGTACCCTATATTTTGTGGATGTACAGCTACATTTCTCATGTAAGTTTGCGTAGTTTTAACACAAACATTTATTTTTCATATTGCACCAGTACAGTTAATGAGCAACCTGTACTTGTGTGCTTGTTTGTTCTGTCTAAAATGTTTATTTTGGAATAAAGAGGTTAATATAAAAAATATTTTTTGTCCGATTCATCGATTAATCGAAAAAATAATCGTCCGATTCATCGATTTTTAAAATAATCGTTATTTGCAGCCCTAATCAACAGTATGATCAATAGACCCAAGTCAGTCACAAGTTCTGTGGTGTTTCTAAGGGAAATCACAAGCTTCCTTTTTAGAAAGAAAAAGTAAAACTACTGCATACGGTTTGATCATAGCTTGTTTCTCCATTGTATGGAGGCTCTTTGTACAAAGACCTCTGCACCAAGTTTCATTTAGTTTCTGACCACTTAAGTTTGGTCTTAACACAGGGCACATTTTTCACGGTGACAAATGATTTTTCTTTCTTTGTGAACAAAGTATGTACATTTTTTTTTTTTATCCATGGTTTGTGTAATTCGTTCTGATGGGGACCCAGTCTTATTTGGACTTATCCATTTGTCGGCTTTTATTTCTGCTGTAACCTTTGACAACAGAACCCTGTTTGTTTCAACTTTTAATTTCATGTGAAGTCATGACTAAATACAGGGTTTCCACGGGTCATTAGAAATCATTATTATTGTTTTTTTTTTTTATTTAAGGCCTTACTTAGCATTAAAATTCATTAAATGTGATCATTGTGGCATTTAAAATGCTTTATATAAATAGGGAAAAAAAGTTTATAAAAACAATTTAGACAGATATATCGCAATATGTTTGCGCAGAACTGCTTCTGGTTAATCGTAAAGCCGCATGTTCGGAGAAGAAGAGAATGGGGGAAATGCTAATTTCAACAAAAGTGGCTGGAAACAATAGGGACATTGCTGCAGCCAGTTGACGGTAAAGATGACAAAGGATTTTGCCTTTTTTTCTATGTGTGTGTGTGAGTCATGGGTACTTTTTGATGGCATTAAAATTATTCCTAAGAGCATTAAAAAGCATTAAATTACAGTTACTCATTCCTGTATAAACCCTGAAATAGTTTCTGGGTTTCTCTCAAAAATATTTTACGTGCAACACTGTGATTACACTCTTTATTGCTGGCAGTGTTTGTGGATAGAAGGGGAGGGAATCAACCACAAACATGGATTATATCTTGATGCCTCACTGTTGTTATGCTCCCCCTTTAATTCCATGCAAATAGTATTCAGCTTATTCGGGAGGAGGATCCATTAGGTAAATAACTTGACACAGGTCCTCTGCTGTTCATCGTAGTACCTGCTGCAGAGTTTCACTTAATCCTGCTGTTTTTTTCTTTTTTTTCTTTGACCAGTTCATGAAATTCCTGCCCCTCGATTTGCAAGGCTATTGTCCAAATGTATTTGCAACACCGACGTCCATATATCTCCACAATCACTTGCTGTCTGTCATCTGTAAGCTCTGACCCGGTGGGAAGATAAGTCTTTCCTCTGTAGGAGACCTTCAGGAAACCTGTTTGTTTCTCTGGACCATTTTTGTGTTCTTCACTGCAGGACAATTTCTCATCTAGAAAAAATCTTTAATTAACCTCAAGCTTCTCTTTTGGCTGCAGCATTCTTAGCAGCAGCTTCCTTCCATCTTCCTGTTAATGGCTTGACACTTTTCTTTTAAGGTGACGATTGCCAACACAAGAAGACATGATTTCAATATTATGTTATCTTGGTTTATAGCTTTCATTAGCTCATTTCACGAGGCTGTCTGTGCAAAGGATTTAACAAAAACAAACTCAGTTGATGATTTTGCACAAAAGTAGTTTTTTTTCGTAGGTTCATGTTGTAAAAGTTTTCCGCTAATAAAGTTCTTTGGAATAATTGAATCTGATTCATCTTCACAATAGTGGAAAACGAGTGCAGATCTTTGCAGCAGTTTTAACAGAGACCATTTTTTTGACATTGCAAAAAAAATTCTGGAAGTATTGCAGTGATTTTATTTGTATTTCTTCTGTTTGTAGGATTCAGAAAGAGCTGGCGGATATTACACTGGACCCTCCACCAAACTGCAGGTAGGGTTTCCACTTTTATACCCAGGCTTTCCACCTGCATTGAAACAGTTTAAACTTATCACACAAATCTCATAGAAAAGTGATCTAATTCTGCAAAAAATAAATTTATGCCAACTTAGAAAAACACAGAATGATAAAGTAAAATTTTCTCTATTGTTGTTTTAATGAGGTTCTTTTGTTTATGTGTTACTTCTTTAGTTAGCCTTCCTTTTAGTGTATTTGTGATAAAAATCAAAACTATTATTCCTGCGCAAAAAAAAAGACATGAAATGATATTGGTGGTTTTAAACCTTGTGAAATTACATGGTCCTAATATCGGTCTAGCTCCAGGCCGCCTGATGGTTCTGTTTTTATCTTTTATTACTCTTTACCAAGAGGAATCTCTTTTATTACTGAGAGCCATGTTTCTGAAACAGAACCCAAGCAGCACCCTGGCCATTCTCTCCTAATGAGCCTCTTGACTCCCTTCACTATCCTCTTGCGTGGCCATGTAGATTTCTATATTGCAGCTGGAGTTCCACGCTAAAGTTCTTTGTAATGTGACGTCTTAATGCAAACAAGCCAATGATGGTCAGAGGTGGGTGTAGCTGTAGATTTACAAAATTTTCCGTTTCATCAGTCAATAAGGAAAAACAAGTGTTGTCGATTTGACCAAAAAAATGAAATCAATTGTTACTGTAATGCCCCCACCACAGCTGCAATGCAAACTACATGATACTCTGAAGGGAAAAATCAATACAGATTGCAGATCATAAAAACCCCATAACAGATGATTTACTTTGAACTTTGGCATCAATGAATAAGCACATCCACATCTTGTTCATTTGGAGGACAAATACATAAAAATTGAACCACAAAGTAGAATAATCACAGTCTCCTCATCACATTTGATCTTTGATCAGTCATTCGGGAGATCGTAGATTAAAGGTGAAATGTTAACTCATTCCTTTTTGTACACAGTCGGTAAAAGTAGCTCTCACTGCTGCGGAGCCATGGTGCTAAACATCACTTTAGATTAAATTGATGTTAGAATCAAAAATCTTTCTTTTTTCTTTTTTAATAAGGGGGATTACATTTCTTTTTTCCAGAACAAATTAGTGATTTTATGATGTATTGTAATCCCATCAAATTGTAGTTTATCTAAATTACTTTCAAATTTTGATTTGTAAGATAATTAGTCTAAGTGGGATTTAAGGATAGGTGCTTTTTTCAATCAAATTAAATCAAAGCTCTTAAACTCTCAGTTACTATATAGAGCAAAATTGCAAAAAGCTTTAATATTAGTGCAAAACAAGCCTGTTTACATTAAAAAGTGTTTTTCCATATATTGCTTCAGCCGTTCACCTATTTAGAAGTGATTTTGATGACCTACAATTTTAGCTGTCGCTGACTAAAATAATCTCTCTCAATTATACGTCAGAAGGATATTTCTAAATATTGATAACTGAAGTTAAAAAAGCTGATTAATAAACCACTGGTAGTATGAAAAACTATAATCGTTTTAAACAAAGCGACCTTTAACTCTAACCCCTCCTCTCCAATTTTCCATATGTGTACATTTGGGGAAACATTAATTATTGCTAATAGAAATGTAATCAGGCTCAGAATTTACAAATAAAATAAAATTAGTTTGTAACTTAAAAATGAACATAGTTTTATAAGATTTGGTCCAAATGGACTGAGTACGTGAAACCAATTAGATCCGACTTCATTTGATTGTTATTCTGAAACATGTCTTGCCCTCTAATGTCTTTGTGGTTTTTATTATTCGAGGTGGTGCAATTCCCGTTACTGTTTAATTCTGTTCATTTTTTGTTATCTTTACAACTAAGTTAGTGATATTCTGTTAAAAATACCAGAAAGGCAACATGGACAAAATCACTTGGACTTTCTGCCTATATCTTCAGTTATAATCTTGAATGGATGAAGCTGTGATTACTGATGTAATTGAAATCTGTCTTTCTAAAAAATAAAAAAAATGAACATAATATTTAGGAATTTTTCAATATAATTTCTGAAGTGATACTGGTATTATCAATAACCATACAAACTTTTAAAACTTCTCTTGTAATGAGGAATGTTAGAAAAGAATTTACTAAAACCAAGAACCACTGACCCTAGTGTTATTAGTACACAACGGGTTACAGAAACTTTAGACGGAAGCAAACTGTTTTTATCAGCAAGCCAATATCAGATTTGAGGTGTTGGCTCCGATTAGTCTAGGTCCGATTTTAGTTTTTGACCGATAACTGAGCGATATCATCACAAGGCTGCAGTTCACCTGAGCTGTTCTAATCAAGTTCGTTCTGTTCATTTCAGTGCTGGTCCAAAAGGAGACAACATCTACGAGTGGCGATCAACCATCCTGGGACCACCAGGCTCTGTGTATGAGGGAGGGGTCTTCTTTCTGGACATCGCCTTCACACCGGACTACCCATTCAAACCCCCAAAGGTACCAATCAAATCAGGTGGTTTACCACAGCAGCACAGCCCGTTTAGAACCATGCAGGGAGAAATATTACAAGACCAACAAAATTTAGCTGCTGTGTGAATCATCTGTTTATCAATCAGAGGCACATTTTAAGGAATTATAAATGAAGTTAACTCTGCATCAAAAGAGAGCACGTTTGGAACAGGGTCTCTAAAAATAGGAGAGGTGTCACTTGAACTACCATCTTTAAATACTCTTCTGCAAATTTGTTGCAGTCTTTTTTGCAGATAAGGTGAAACTGTGGTTATGTTTGTGTTTCAAAGGTGCACTTCCTGCATGACTCATTTTGTGTTGCCATTCCTGTTTTGTAGCACATTATTTTCCATTTCACACACTGCATGGCCTTTAAAGTGTTCAAAATTGAAATACCTTCTATATTTATTTTAATGGCATTTATGTGAATATTTAATTCAACTCCTTATGCATGTAACAAGACTTAGACTTTTAATATGTTGCTAAAATTGCAGCCGTGGTTTTGAAGTTTACCTCATTGTGTAAGAAGGTACCTTAATGGAGTAAAAGCATTGCAATCACATTCACACAATAATCATTTCACAATGATGCTAAAGGCACACCGCAGACTTTGTGACCTAAAGAGTTTATGCATAAGATTTATTTTAAATAATTCCTCAGGCATGACACTATCGGTGCTCTTGAAATACAGACTATAGCCCCATTTAAACTACCCTCTGAAAACCGATCCATGCCGAGCTTGGATCAGTTAACCGTGCCGGCTCTGTTCTTTAAGACCGTTTACACACCACGCACGGTTCCTCGCCTCCTAGTGACGATCTACGGTACTACAAGCAAATCATGGCGGCGCCCGTAACATTCAGAAGGTTTGCGGAGGTTCAGACAAAGAAGGCAGCCTATGGTGATTTTACTTGACAGAGGTGGCTTTTGGGAAGTTGATACGGCAAACAATAATCTTATTAGAGCTTATAGATGCAGGAAACAACAACAGGAGTTGAGGTTCGTCACATTGGTAAGCAGAATCATCGCTGGAAATCTTGTGGCACGGTAGGGAAGCTTGTATTTTTATGAGTGTCTGAACGTTCATGATTACGGAGGCTGAGTGTAAGGAGATGATGCGGTTAGCTCATGCGCTCTTTGTTAACTGAGAAATGAGCCACAACTGAACCACGCTGAGACCTACTGATGCTCTTATATCGTCATGGAGCTAAGGCTTTTGCTCTACAATTTTTCCGCCTGCTGGACTACTGATCATGGCTGAGGCAAGGAAAATTTTAAATCCTCTGAGGAGGCTAAAAAGAGAAAACGTAAAAGGGATCATGCCTGAGGAAAAACAACAGTCGACCATGGAAAGGAGTTTGTTCGTTGGCGCAGGTTGAAAGAACAATCCGGATGTGAAACCGATTCTCTTTTCTCAACTTTATTATTAGACTGGTACGTTAACACTTTGCTCATAGTATGCAGGCATATATGTCTGTTATTATTTTCGATGTTTAGTAGAAGCAAACTGCGGGCAGAGGAAGCTAGCAGGCTACAAACAAAAGCTAACCGAGACGCCTGAGCATTCATGAATATTCATCTCATCTAAGCAAAAATTAACAAGTTGTTTTGAATTTTGCTGTTTACACCAGACTGTTCTAAACTTTTCTCAAAATGCAGTCAAATGCAGCCAAAGGGTTGGTTGCCTGGTAAACCCCAGTCGGCCTCAGCAGATGGGCGCTCACACTGAGCCTGGTTCTGCTGGAGGTCTCTTCCTGTTAAAAGGGAGTTTTTCCTCTCCACTGTCGCTACAAGCATGCTTATTGTGAGGGATTGCATTTGAGTCAATGAGTCGATGCAATCAACTGGTTTTCCTTAGATAGAAAACTTTGAATCAATTAGACTGGATGATCTGGTGAACTGTAAAGTGCCTTGAGATGACATGTTGGGAATTGGCGCTATTTAAATAAACTGAATTAAATTGAATTGTTTTCAAGCTCCAGCTTTCGATGTCATTGTGTCTTACGGCAAGACACCTCACCCACATTGCCTAGTGATGGTGGTTAGAGGGCACAGTGGCGTCTTTGTACAGGAGCCTTGCTTCTGTCAGGGAGCCTCAGGGCGGCTGTGGCTACCGCATAGCTTGCCACCATCAGTGTGTGAATGCAAAGGGCTGAATCTGAATGTAGGGCAAAGCGCTTCGGTCAAGTCTCCTGACTAGAAAAATTGCTATATTTACCTTTACCTTTTATAATATATAGTCCAAAATAAATGCATTTATTATAATACAGGTTACAGGTGAAACATAGCCTTAAAATGTTGTCTTTGCCTGGCCGCCTTCTCCTACCAACAATGAGTCACATCAGATTTTTAAGCCTTTTTGATAATTGCATGTATATGCTAGTCTACTATTGAAAAATACACATGCATTAAAATGTATTTATACATTTGTTGAATTACTCTTTATCAAAACACCAATGATTGACAAAAAATGACAGGTTTTTGAATCTAAACCTTTTATATTTGTGTGTTTTGTGCAGATTGAGCTCCTGTAGGGCTGTTTATTGCTAGCTGTGTTGTTCTGGCCCTGCTAGGTCTCCATAATACTACCTGTAATATTCCCTTTATTCAGCAAACTTAAATCTGACCCCCATACGTCTGATATTATGTGAAACAATTTAAGATTTAAAAAACATTTTACCTTGTATTTATGCACAAACTTCAGCAAGCTTTTCTTTCTATGTCACATATTTTGTTTTTGTGCAATGCCAGCAGGTTTTTAAAAAATGTGTTTACAACTCAGTAAGCGCTACGTTGACAGCCTAAAACCTAGATTAGATGTTTCACCATGCAGTCAGTAATCGTTTGTGGACTTCTCCCTCCCCACTAGCAGCTCCTTTCATTATTACTGATTAAGATGGGACTGTCGAGCATCATTGTTCTGTTTGTCAAGCACTGAGGTGGAGTTAACGGGTCTAAGCTGATAAAGCTTTGAGCCAAATTGTGACACGTGCGAGAGCAAATTCTGACTGTCTGACAACGCACCCATTTAAAAAAACAGCGGCCTGAATTGCCTGTCAGGTTAAGACAAGCATTTATTTTCACTTAATCTGGTCTGTGTAGGAAAGGGCTCTGATAAAAAACATTCCTAGCATCGTACAGCACAGTCTGGTGTCAGTTTATTCCTGTTATACAGAATTTATTTAAAAAGCCATTTGTGGGAAAACTCCTTACTTTGATCATCCAAATTTAAGGCCTTGAAAAGTCTTAAGTTAACTGAATTATTGTGTTAAAGTATTTTTGATTACGGTAGTTCCTCTTCTGACATCCATGTTAATGCTGTCTCAAATACTGTACTCAGTAAAATGCTCCCATGACAGCATTGTCCTTGATTGTATATAAGCGCTAAAAAAGCTCATCGGCAGCCAATCAGCCTTTTTTTTATTGTTAACTCAAAATGACTTGACTGTCTGCGAGTAGAAACTGAAGTGCTGCTGTTGTGGGTAAATGGCATCAAGGGAACCAGTTTATAGTCCTAGAGAAATCATATTTAAATGTCAAATCATTCCGGCTAAAACATGTATATAAATGTGCTCTTTATCTATGTTCTCTTTTTTTAAAAATAGTTATCGTATTTTCCCGACTATAGAGCGCATCTCTATATAAGCCGCACCCGCTAAGTTTAAAAAAAAAACTAGAGAAGTACATATAAAAGCCGCATCGGGGTAAAAGCCGCTGATAACAACTGAAATGGTTACCGGTACCTCGTTTAACAGAACACAACTGAACAGATTAGTTTCGGAATGGTTTCTGTAGCACAAAAGTAAAAGTGCTGATCAAACAAAACAGAAAAGTTATTGATTGATTTATTCATCGTCCTCCTGCGCACTGAAACCACTGAAGTCATCTTCTTCAGTGTCGGACTTGAACAGCATCAGAAGAGCTTCATCACATACCTTTTCTGTGTGGATATCAGAGTTGTTCTCTGTGTCGCTGTCATCCCGGGGTGAAGCTGGCTCTGAAGCTGCGGTGCCCTCTTCACGCAGCAGTCCGGCCTTTTGGAACTCGTTGGTGATCGTAGATTCCTTCACGCTGCTCCACGCTGTTAGGATCCACTGACAGACATCAGAAAATGATGCTCTTCGCATGCGGCCAGTTTTTGTGAAGGATTTTTCGCCGCTTGTCATCCAAGCCTCCCATTTCCCGATTCACGCTGATGTCCAGAGGTTGCAAAAACTTTGTTGTGCCTCCAGGAATCACAGCAGGAATTGAATTGGTTCTCTTGATGACAGCTTTCACTGAATCGGTGATGTGGGCCCTCATACTGTCCAAAACAAGAAGCGCCTTTTTCCGGTGAAAAAATCCTCCTGGGCGCTTTCCGTAGCATTCCGTTAACCAGTCCTTCATAAGACTTTCTACCATCCATCCTTTCTGGTTGACTTTAACCACTATGTCCTTCGGGAGCTGGTCTTTCGGCATAGTTTTGCGCTTAAAAATAACCATCGGGGGAAGCTTCTTTCCAGAGGCGGTGCAGCCCAGGACGCAGGTGAAATGAGTTCTCTCATGTCCGGTGATTTTCACCATAATGGATGATGCACCTGTCTTGTTTACGGTCCTGGTCAGAGGCAGATCAAATGTTAAGGGCACTTCATCCATATTTACAATCTCGTCTGGTCCTATAGCGTTCTCCGCAATCTTTGTTTCAACAAATTGTCGGAAATTTGCAACTTTTTCCTGGTAGTCTGGGGGGAGTTGCTGACAGAGAGTTGTCCGCACCCTGATGGACAGGTTCTTTCTTCTCATGAATCGGAAACACCAAGACGGTCCTCCGTTGAAATCCTCAATATTCATTTCGCGGGCGACTGATTTGGCTTTCAGCCGGATTTGCACGGTGGATACACCTCGGCCACCTGCTCCCTGAGTGTTAACCCAGTCCTCAAGAACATTTTCAAGTTCAGGCCACCTGCTTTTATGTCCTCTGAAAGCCTTTCTAGTTTTTTTACATTGGATGAGTTCTTCCCGCTGCCGTCTCCAGCGCCGAACCATGGATTCATTCACGTCAAGTTTACGTGCAGCAGCTCTATTTCCTTCCTGTACTGCCAGATCAATGGCCTTCAACTTAAAAGCGGCATCATACGAACTTCTTCGTGTGGTTTCCATGATGAGTGGGTATGGCTTTGAACAAAATTCTCCGTCGTGTCTGCTGCTAACAAGTGCTAAATAAAAATTAGCGCTATCTTATTCTTTGATTTTCAACTTTGACTTCCCTACCGTCTCGTTTTTTTTACTTTCTGCTAAAGCGCCCCCTGGCGGGTTGTGAAAAATCCACAGAAAAGCCGCACCACATTATAAACCGCATGGTTCCAAGTATGGGGAAAAAGTAGCGGCTTATAGTCGGGAAAATACGGTATACGTCAGCTTGTACACCTAAATTCGGCCAATCATATTTTTTTTTTTCTGTATATATGTCGCAGCTAATATACGCAACAGTTGAAATAAGAAATAAGGATAATTTCCCTTCCCATTAAGTTCCATCCCAGCGTTCACGGGGATGGACGTCTGTGTCTTCCGCAGGCGTAGATCTAACAGAAGTGGCAGCGTTGCGAGGCAAGGGCTCAAACATGTACGGCTGGAAGCCTTCTACAACAAACCAAGCTTCTGCCGCCCTGGCGTCCTCTTCCATAACAACTTCATCCCCGCTTTCCTCCTCTAAATAAAAAATGTATGACGGAGGAGACTCATCCATGACCTCTGACACTAAACTCTCCTCCTCTTGCATGTTTCCGCTGTCCATAGCGTTCCTTGACAGTGTCGTTTCAAAGTCGCCAGTTTAGTGCTACTTGGTCCCAATGTCATTTCCCATTGTGAACCTACTAGTACTAAGTTGCTAACTGGTTAGCAAGATGCTTCCGAGACACCGGCCAAAACCAAACATGCTTGTGAACCTTCCGCCACAACAGTCCCGCCCCCTTTGATAAACGACCAACTTACTACTGCGTGTACAGATAGATGACGACTCTCAGCCAGTTCTGCTATTCTGGCCCAACACTAGCAATGCTACTTCTTCACTGTCTCTGTGAGGCGGCACCTCTGAGGCTCCCTTTAACAACGTCTGTGTTGTCGTTGGATCAGAACCTCCTTTAAGAATGAAGGAGCAATCCACATACCTGGATCGTTGTTCAGGGGGAATGCAGCAGCCAGCGACTCACTGAAGCACCCTAAATGGAGTAAATGGTGCATTTTGAACTAGAATTTTACAAAAAAAATTATTATATATATTTTAATTTGAAGACTAAAATGAGTTATACACAAAAACATAATCCAAATTTAAAATAGTTTTTACATCCAACATATGAAACCTTAAAGTAGATAATGTAGTTTTAGAATAGAGGTCTGTCTGTCTTTGTTGAACTATGCACATCAGACACTGTAGACCCTGTTGATAGTTATTTTTATGTGTGTGTGTGTATTTCCTTCTTTGTTGTTTTCATTTAAAACTATAGAAAGGCTAAATATATACAGATAGAAATTTGGAGTAGCTTTCTACACCCTGATTGTGTTTTTATCTCTAACAGCTATTGTTAATTCATGGAGCGGGGACTTATTGTTTAACTCTTCAGGCCGAACAGCTTTTTAGGCAAACATTGTATCATCGTATATTGTATCCCTACAATGACTGTGATAATGATAATAAAAATAGACATCATTGTTGTCATGGAAACTAGTTGATTTCTCCTAAATATTTAAATAGAGCAGTAATTGTCTTAAATTGATTTATAGTAATTCAGGTGACTACATGACTCAGCTGTAGTAATATAATGCTAGAGGGCCTGCTACAGTTTTGTTATTCTGTTGTCATGGTAATAGAAATTTGCATGAATTAATAATTACACATTATCTTTAAACAAAATTGCAATTGGAAAGATATGTTACTGTTGTTGCTGAATGAAAGAAACTCCTTCCTTTTAGTCTACAAAAAGTAAAGCTGATATATTCAGCATTACATTAACGTGTGAATTGATTGAAAGTGAAGACGTCACAACGTTGATGCTTTTTGAATTGTAAACAAATGTTAACTTTAGATAAAGAAGGTCTGAGGTGTCTCATGCTTTATCTATAGTAATGAAATCGGTCTTTCTGAGTGGGGAAGAAGAAACTCTCCTTTTAGAAAATGACTGCATATATTTAAAGTCGGTCTTTTGCCACTAGAGGGCTCTCTAGAGCTGGGTAAAAAACCTAGAGTCTCAGGTGTTTCCCTGCTTTCTACTACTGATTACATTTTAATGTTTTCTGTATCACAAAAGCATCATGTCAGTAACAGACACCAATAAAACAGTTAGACTCATTGGTAACCGACCGTCTACTTACTGAATGTTCTGCGTGTCTTTAGGTCACGTTCCGTACGAGGATCTATCACTGCAACATCAACAGCCAGGGGGTGATCTGCCTGGACATCCTGAAGGACAACTGGAGCCCCGCCCTCACCATCTCCAAGGTGCTGCTGTCCATCTGCTCCCTGCTCACAGACTGTAACCCAGGTAAGACCAACTCCTTACTTAGAGCTACTGAGAGAAGGTTACATGTTCCTACAGAGTAAACAAACTACTTCCCTTCTTAAAACCATTTTATCTGCTAAACTTCATCCACAGCTGTTGGAGCAGGATGCTGCTTCTAATCCCCCCAAAAAACAGAATTTTAAATCATTTTGGAGGTCATGGAAGGATACTTTTATTTTATTTATAGAACACAAGCAATAGTGGTTCTGCTTGAAAATAGATCGTTTTTTTCTTTTTTATACAAAGTTTCTATTCAGTCCCTAAAAGTATTTCTTTCATTTATGGTTTGTGACAGGAATGGAATAAAAGGAAAAGCTTTTAGATTATTTTCATTTTAATCCCATTTCTTAAGAATAACAAAATTTAAATGTCTATATTTGTAATGTTTAAGATATTATCAGATCATAAATTCTCAACAGATCATAATAGGAACTATATACCTACATTGTGGTTACACTTTTTCTCACAGCAGCAAATCAACAGTCATAAAAGTCATCACTGTTTTATTTAAATAGATCGTTGAATAAAAGGGGAATTTTAACAATAACACCAGTGTAGAATTCAGTCAAGGTTGGTCCATATCTAAGAACGAAGTCTTAGTCCTGGGATCTTTAGCCTATAGAAAACCAGTGACGGGGCGTGGCAGAGGCGCTGGGGCAGAGCATGTGACCCATATACGCGCAGTCCTCCTTCAAAATGTCAACCCTGAAACCTTCGCTGCATTCCTCTCTACCCCCTTTCCTGCCTGACTGCTATCAAATAAAGACCTACGTTTCACAAATCTAAAAAAAACAACAAAACACCAAGGTCAGGCACGTCGTTCCTATCCTCCCTCTGTTCCTGGTGGGCGTGGCCGGTCATGCAGCTCCCCATTAATGGTGACTCAGCAGGAGTGGCGCTCCCAGAACAGGACTAGCAGTGAGGTAGATTCTGGAAGGTTGCTTATTTTCCTGCTTTAAAAGAGGAAAAGAATAATGTAATAAATGTTTGATATATAGAAACAAAAATAAAGTCACACTTATGAGGCTTAAATCTGAAGCAGGAGTTGTTTTAGGGATGCATGTCATCTTTAATCATCTTCCGCTACCAGTTGTTGAATAAAAGCAGATTTTATTTGCTGCGCCGTCTGCTTTAACTAAGAACTTCAACTGCAGCTCAAATGAAGGTAGAACCCCGGACCTAAACACAGTGGAGACATTTGGAGTCGCCAGATATATAGGAAACATATTTGCTCTAACACAATTCAATATTCCTCAATAATATCTCAGAACTGTGGACCTTAATACTGCTTTGGTTCAAGGTTTTGCTCCCTGCTAGCAATTTTAATGAATGGGCTTTAATGCCTAAGATACGCTCCAATCAAACTAAAGGCGGATTAAACTTCCAAGCTCTCCAAAGAGGCAGCCGAGTCCTACATTTATGAAATGTTGGTCTTAGAAGTCAAGGCACCAATACTTAACTCTTTATGATTTATTTCAGGTTGTTCTAAACAATACTTATACTGGACTTTCAGAGAAACCAGAACAAAAACCTGTTTTTTTTTTTCAGCTGATCCTCTGGTGGGAAGCATCGCCACTCAGTACACGACTAACAGAGCCGAACATGACCGAACAGCCAAACAGTGGACAAAACGATACGCCACATAAACCCACAGGACACCAGTGGGAGGAAGAGGACGAAGAAGAAGAAGAGGAGGAGGAGGAAGAGGAGGCTCGGGGTGGGGGGTGATCTGTGTTGTTTGTGACAGGGGTTATTTTTATCTCATATTTTTAGTACTTTGTCGGCTATAATTTTTGTTTCCTGGTTAAGTTATCTCTGTGAACATGCTAATAAAGGAAAACGATGTACCAACTCATCCAGTTATTTCTCTGTGATTTAAACTAATAAAAATAAAATATTAAATTTACAGGCTACAGAAATAAAAACATGTTGGTTTAAATAAAATGACAGCAGGTTTAATTTATGCTCTGCTTTAAGGATGCGGTCTAATAGTTATTCTAGTCAACAAAATAAAGTTTTTTTTATAGTAGAAGCACTTTTTCAAATATCAAATTATCACAGAAATGCTTTTTAGCTTACTATTTAATATTTAAGATTTTTTTTTAACCAAAGTCAAACGCTGAAGCTTTCTGTAGTAGAGCTGTATCCTATGCACAGCCAAAGCTGGAAAGAGTCCAGCTAAACATCTCTAATTAGACTTATTTCTATACTAGAGGATCAGATTAGCTTCAAATCACAAAAAAGGGTTTCTGCCATCAATATATTACTTCTCGCAAAGAAAACCAGTAAAAATAATGCTGCTAATAGTTTTCCAAGAAACAGATTAAGAAGTTCAGTTGCTGAAAATAAACATTTCAGGAAGTCAAGAAGCTCCATAAGAGCAATAAAATTTGAAGTCTCCACCAGAACAGAGCTTGCCCAAGCTTTGCAGCAGACGGGTGCTTTCACAGCATAAAAAACTTGTATAAAGAAAGACTGCCAAAAACAAATGACTAATGAACAAATGTCTGCACTGCTCGACATGCGAGGATGGACACCAGAGGACTGGTGGAAAGTTGACTTCCCTTATGATTCCAGTTCTGGAAATCCAGAAAATCTTCTGGTCAGATGGGAAAAGAGTTCAGCCCACTGGGGTGCGGATGGTGAAGAATCCTGATCCGATGCATGTGGGTAGTTACTTCAGATCATTCACACACCTTTACAATCTCTTATTAGTAGCATTTCTACTAAAAGTAATGGAATAATATAGTATATTTAGTGTGAAAATGTCGTGGTTTCTACTTTTTATTTTGATAGAAAAATAAATTAACTTGTACAAAAACAGACATAATCAAACCGAATAAACAATAGAATATCAAACTATGTTTGTTCTCCAAAGATAAGTTTGTTCCAGAGAAGTTTATGCTGCTCTTTCCTTGTCTGTGTGTCAGTCTGGCCCCCCAAATTTTTTTTTGTCATAAGTAATGATTTCCACATGCTTAAAAATATTTCTGTATCATAAAATTATGTGTTTTATTAATATATATATATATATATATATATATATATATATATTAGAACATTTTTAATCGCATCATATCAACAGTTAACTCGAGATTAATTGCATATTTTATCTTTTTATTTACGAAAGTGTTAAAGCCTATTTGGGTATTTTTAAAAATGCAATTGAGCAACCGATGACATGTAAAAAACTCATGCTTATACAAAAAGATTTTTTTATTATTTGTTTTCAAGCACTTTAAAGAAACTAGAATAATAATATCCTTGTTCAAATTATGGTCAATAATTATTAAAAAATTGTAAAAAAAAAAAAACAAAATTAGGTGTTATGCTTCCATCAAAACTTTACAAAACTACTGAACAGTAAACAGTACTCAAAGTACTCTGTAAATTTACATTTTTTTCTCAAACATAAAAAATAAAGATGTACTGTTAAAATAAAGTGCACATTGCGTTATGAAATACAGACTTCATTCAAATAAAATGAAGTAACTCACAAAATAACACATAAATCAAACGAAATTACAATAACTGGCTTTTACAGTCATCTCAACAATATAACATTTTACATGTAGAACATTTTCAGTGTGCTCTGAACAGGAACTGCAGCAGCAGTGCAGTCCACATGACTTACGGTAGTTCATTACTTTGTCTTGTTCTTTAAAAAGAAACTTATCATTCAGGATCCCTTGTCTGCTGGCCATTTTTGCCCATTCAAAGCACGGGTCTGTTATGCTGCGGACTCTCCCACACACTTAGCATTTCTGGAACTACGGAAAGCGCCGAGGGTAAAACAAAAAGTACAGAGATGTGTGATTAACGTGTGTGAAAAAAATGTTGGCGTTATAGTCTAAAACAGTTAACGCTTTAAAACTGACAGCCCAAATATAAATTATTCATGCAAAATAAATACTCCTGTTAATTGTTGTGCTGGGGCCCCGAAGCAGTTGCTTAGTTCACTTATACCTTGGGCCGGCCCTGATCACCGTTCTACGCCAAGAACACCACCACAGATAAAAAGTAGAATCAAAGCACCCTCTTAACATCTTCCAACATAGCAGGAACTATTCTGATGATTTTTATGCATGTGACTAAAAACAAAATGCCTGATAAAATGGCTTAAAGGTCAAACAGTACAATTTGGGAAAATTTAGGAAACTTCTCAGAAATTAAAGCCACAGAGAACTTGAGAGAAGGCATAAGCCCAACATTTGTAGAACAGATTAAAATAACTTACTAACCAAATAATTTAAACATGAAATATTTTGTTTTACATAGAAGCCTTAAAAGCAGATGGCCTTCTAAGCTTTTACGTCACGCAGCTTCACCTCGGTTCCATTCACCTTTACACTATTTGTTCGGTCCAGTTGGGATTCAGTCCAAATGCTTTAAGTGCTTCTAGCAATAACTCCATATTTTTTTTCCTACAGTTGTAGTTTTAAGCATATGAATGATTGTCCTTATCTGTGTTCTTTGCCCTACCATTGAGTTTAAAAGTGTTTACAGCTTTGTTGACCAGATTCTTAGTCATCTGTAAGAGATAACAGGCAGAGTTAACGGGGATAGTTGCCAAATATAACCTCTCAGATGTCGGGTGAACAGATATGTTATGTGTAGGATCAGAGAGGTCATCTGTTCTCAGATTTCAAATGCAGGTCACTGCTGAAGCTGCAGAGAGAGGAAACCTGCACCAAAGGAAAGCTGGATCACCATCATGATGAATAAAACCACTGGTTTAATGAATACACTTTTTAATTTTAGTTTGTGCCCACAGAGGGAGCCCAGACATGAAAACATTTCTTTTGAAAATTCCACTATAGTCAAAATAAGTATTATTTCCTGCAGTAGTTTTTTTTTTTTTAATCCTTCTCTGACAGTTTTTTTTAATTGATCCAGTCAATCCAGAAATATGTTCAGCTCTCAAAGGCCCTTAGGTGCAGGACGTGATGTGCGGATGATGTTTTGTCCTGCCAGGCGTGAATCACTCCTCTGAGGTTTGAACTGCAGCCAGGGAGCTAAATCTGGGAATTAAATACTTTCCATTTGTGCCGTGTGTTCTCAGCAGAAACGGAATCAAAGCAGTCTCTGTTGTGCTTTCTTGGAGGGGAGCCATTTCTGGAAATACAAATGATCTGGTTGGATATATGAGAGCTGATAAAGTTAACAGATAACTTGTTCTATAACCTCAATTTTTTTTGTCAACACAAACATCAGATTCCAAACAACATAAAAAGAAACTCCCAAGTGTCGGTGAGAGTAAACGTTAACGATTAACGTCTAGTTTGGGCTGTGAGGTTCTACTGGTCAGATGTTATTACATGTGACTGTAACTGCTTAAACTCATCCACCTATCAGCATCTGTCAGTAATGCAGAGTAAAACCCGATGAGTTTGATAAGACATGTCGCCTGATCAGAACTTTGATTCCCTGAAAGTAAACACAGGCTGGATGCAGCAGGAGCGCCTTGAGAGTCACGTTCACATTACATCCAAAACTTTCTGCTGCTCAAGCAAATCCTGCTCATCATGCTGGTGCTTAATGTAGACCTAAATCTGTGGATATTAAGCTTTGCACAGACAGTGCATTTGTGTTCCAGATATAAAGAAGTTTAAACGGAGAAGTCCTGAAACAGGCGATTTTCACAGAGAGCCATGTCTTAAGCTTTCAGAGAATATCATGAAAAGGAGGAAATACACAGACTGTGGATTTAAATGCCTTGCTGAAGTCAGGGGAGAGTGGGAAGACTGATTCAACATGGTGAAAGGTATCAATAGCATCAAAAATAAAACTGGTTAAAACCAGAGTATTCAAAATACTCAAAACAGATAAGCTACAGCAGCAGACAGGCTCGGACTGGTAATCTGTGATACCGGGTATTTGCCCAGTGGGCCGGTCCTAATTTCATATCGGCCCCAAAACTTTACTCTCCGGCTGAAGCACCTACCTGTGACAGTAAATAACTCAACAAGCTCAAGAAATAATACAATGTTAACTACCTAAATGATGCATGCAGTATATATGGCCATTCCTTGTAATGCACATCCTTGTGACGATTGGCATGTGATGTAATTTTCTATTTCTTCAGCAACAATCTAAATTATAATAAAACTAAAATGCTTTCTTTAAACCAAACTACGATGTTCCTCTTATATTTGGCGAATTTATGTTTGAATATTTAGCAAAAATATGTTGTGGTGCATGATGGGGTTTTGCATCTAAAGGCTAAAGTATCCCGTCCTACGTGCATTGTTGCCAGGTTGGGATGTTTCCCAATCTGGCAGTTTAGTATGGCCGTCTATGGGTAAAAAATGTTTTTCTTTAGATTTATGGCCTGAGAGATCAATAGACTTTGGTTCAAATTGGGCGAAATTTCATATATCCAGGTGGTTTATGAAAATGTTTTGGGCTGGAAAACGTGAATCAGTGACATCTGGCAACCCTGTTGATGTGGTGATTGTGAACGTAACGCAGCAGCAGTCACTGTCCCATCCGTGATAATAAACTGCATTATAGAAGTCTTGGTGATGGTTGTCGTGTGATGCTTGAAGATAGATCGGTTAATCCACAATTGGACTGTGCTTCTATATTTTTTTTCGGGGAGGGGGGATCCATAAGTGGGCTGGTGTAGATGAAAAAATGCCAGGGCCAAAAATCCTTCCAAGTCTGAGCCTGGCAGCAGAGGACCGATTAGGGTTCTTGCAGTTAAGAGCATGAAATTCAGCAACAACAGGTTTACCAAAACCTTACAATAACAGATTGAAAAATGTTGCCCAGCCCATCAAGTCTTAATTCGAACCGCAACAGATCGATAGGAGTGTTATAAACTAACATAAACTATTTGCAAGCATCTATCCA